AGAGAGAGAGAGAGAGAGAGAGAGAGAGAGAGAGAGAGAGAGAGAGAGAGAGAGAGAGAGAGAGAGAGAGAGCGGAACACTGCAGGGCACGCACGCTTGAAAACGAGCTCGGCACTGCAGGTGGGCACGCGTGTGTTCTATTTGAATAGAACACCAGTTGGCGTGGGCGCTTTCCACCAATTATCCCTTTTTCTTGACACTTTGGGGCTCGTTACAGCACTGTTCGTAAATGCAATTTTCGATAGTTTCTCATCGCAACACAGTCTTTCTAAAATGAAGATGGGAAAATGATTTGGGTAGTTGTCAGAGAGAGCTTCTGGTCCTTGTGGTCTGGACACTTCCTTTGTAAAAGTGGTTCCATGCCCAGCTTGCAACTCCGACGATTTCAACAGTCCTTCCATCAAGTCCCATGCCCATCCTGCAACTCCTATCATCCTATGTTTTCAACAGTCCTCCGCTCCACTATCGAATTCTTATTGGAATTTTTTGGTGAATGGGCCTGAGGTTGGGACAGCCTAGTGCGTGTCCCATCCTCAGGCGCGTTTGTCTGTTTCGGCTTGCATTCACGAGTCTGTGCATTCAACGGTGCTGTGCGGCTAAAAGGGGGGGAAATGTCGAAGGGGCGGCAGTCAAATTTCTTCTGACAGCAGTCCAAGCCTTAGCATTTTCTCACTGCCGGTGGTGTGGAGAGCCCCTTTGGAGCGATGTACATTGTACACTATTCTTTTTTTTCGGGTTCAGAAGGTAGGCGGAAGTGCTTCCTCTGCGTCCGTGGGACGTACCAGCCTGCTGGTCCTCCAAAACAAATTCATCCAGGCAAAATGGGCCATGCACGAGATTTGTTTTATGCACAACTTTTACCTTGCTCAGGCTTGCTGCTTTGTTGTGAACCCGCATGCCAGTCAGTACATCCAGCCGGCCAGAGTCCGCCAGACGCAGCACAAACACTGACACTGTGACACATAGTGGAAAAATGACAGGGGTAAAACCGTAAAAGTACGGGTCGTCTGTGTTTGCCAAAGGGAGTTCCCTTCTGAGCGTGGTGAGTTGAACTCCTCCATTATCTGTTTTTTTTACCTTCTGTTTAAACCACCACTAGGTCCACTACCTTTCCAATATGTTGGACGCGGGCATCTAGTAGCCTACTCCTGAAAAATAGATACCAAACACCGCAGTCGATATTTTTTATCGACGGCGCGTGGCGCCCGAATTTGAATTTGAGACCCACTGCCCCGCACACGAGAAAGGTAGTGGTGGTTTAAAGCACCAGTTCACAAGTTGACGAAGCTGTCTCCGAAGGCTAGCGAAACTCCAACTGCCCATTTTAATAGTGGCTTTCCATGGTCACTATGGGCCCAGGCCCCAGGCCCTAAGGATCATCATGGCCTTACCGCATAGTACACCAGTAGCAGCCCGACTTAGCATCAGGCACCATCACCAAAGACTCACCCAAGTGGCCAACTGTTTTGAACAGTACATGTTTTAAGCCGCCACCCCAAGCCTTCAAGTTGCTGAAAAGAAAACTCGTCGCCTACGAAATTTTCGGAGGCCCAGCGCCGTAGATAAATCGAATTGGCGGGGGGGCAGCCTCCGAAAAGGGCCCGCGGCCGATAGCTGGATGTACTGGTGGTTTGACACTCTCAATTTGTTTGCCCGTCTCTTGTTTGACGCCCGCAATCATGCAGATTTGCTACCAAGGTGCAGCAGTGACGACAGCTACAATGACATGGCTCGCCTGCGCTTGATATGTGGCTACCGGAAGGACGACAACATGACATGTGTATCTGGATTCATGTTCAGCAGGTTACAGTGTTCTCCCGACTCCAAACCTAATGACAATGGACAATTATGTGACAACTTGTTGGTCGACTACAAACAAATAAATCTTAGGTAAGCTCTGTCACCGTGCTTGAGGATAATAACTTCTTCTTCTTCTTCCTCCACCTCCTCCTGCAATGGTGCTGTAGAGGCAGGTGCTTGTCCGTAGTTATTTGAGCTATGGTGATGTCCATGCAGCATGATGCAGGTGTTTGTATAGACTTATTTGTAAGGGTGGACTTGCAGCCTTTGGCATTTCTACTTTATTCTCTTCTCTTCTTCTTCTTCTTCCTCTTCTTCTTCTTCGTCTTCTTCTTCTTCCTCTTCTTCTCCTCCTCCTCCTCCTCCGCCTCCGCCTCCTCCTCCTCCTCCTCCTTCTTCGTCTTCTTCTTCTTTGTCTTCTTCTTCTTCTTCTTCTTCTTCTTCTTCTTCTCCTTCTTCTTCTACTTCTTCCTCTTCTTCTTCTTCTGCTGCTGCTGCTGCTCTCGTGCTTCTCCTGTCCCTGTGGAGGTCTCTCTCGCCGAGACTCTCGGTGCTTTGGCCAATTTGACCAAAGCTGTGGCAGCAAGAGCACTTCGCTGCATGCTCGCAGCTTTGCCCTTATCGGCCAAATGGGCAAAAGAAAGGAAGAAGGGAAAGAGGTCGAAGTTAAGAAGCTGCCACGGGGTTGACGGCGAGAGGGATACTTTTTGCAGACCAGAAGACCGGTGATTTTGACGTCTTGGTATCCGAAGATTCTGGGAATTTTGCGTCCGATGTTTCGTTTTACCTTAGGGCTCGTAGATAGGAGCTGTCGGGTTTTAACAAGGGACTAGGACACAGGTGCTGGGACCAGGACAGATGAACCGGACACAGTTCGGAAATCTATGGCTAGAATCTGGTTCTGTTTATTTATTTATGTATTTAATCATTATGACTGACGACACAATCTTGTAATTGGGACTCGAACAACCCATCTGTCGGGCTCCGGACTGGACTGGAGCGGGCACCGGATGTTGGGAGGACCGGTCCCTTCCAAATAGGCTCCGGTAAAGGTAAGAACACTGGACCCTCAGGAGCAGCAAGATTGGACGAGTTTTCGTCCAAAAAACTCAGTTTCAATTTCATTCAAAAAATAAACTATGTCCATTTTGACGAAACTGCAGTTTTGGGGAAAGTGCAGGCTTTGTTCATAGTTCGATGAGGACATACTCGGACTAGGACGTTCTTGGCGCAGCTCTGGCCATAATTGCGGCCCGACACATCCAGAGTACACCGCAATTATTGCAGTAAGAGATGTATCTAGTAAGGTATTGCTGTCTTTGCCTCAATACAATGTGGTCATTCATCACAGCTCTACCCGGACTTGAAAATAGAGTGAATGTAATGAATGAGTGAATGTAATGAATGAGTGAATGTAATGAATGAGTGAATGTAATGAATGACTTGGCGATTCTATTCGGGTGAAAAGGGTACTGTGAGTATGCCCTCAGGAAGGTGCAGGATATTTTGTTCTTTTCACAGTTGGTGCTGACTCTGGTTGGTTCTCCACACAGTTTCTCACACAAGGATATTTTTGACAGCACTCTGGACAGAATTGCGGTCACACACATCCAGAGTCCGCCGTGATTGCAGGCAGATGCATCTACTGAAGTCCTAGTGGGAGCACGCCCTGAGGAAGGTGCAGGTTGTTTGCTCTTTGGGAAAAGTTATAAATCCCCGCGGCAGTTCTGGTATTACGAGCCCAACCAGGGAGGAAAAATGACATCTTAGACCCTCCCACTCTTTTTGCCCTGTTTAGGGGTGAACAAATAGGAGGGTTCTGCCAGGGGGGATGATTTATAGCTTTTCCCTTCTTTCCACACTTAATACTCACTCTGGCTCTTCTTCACACCTGCTCTCACACAGGAACTTTTTGGACTCAGCTCTGGACGTAATGGGAGCCAGATACACACAGAATTGGCTGTAATTGCAGTCAGATGCATCTACTTGGACTTTTTCCACTTAATATCCCTTGACAAAATATCAGCCAGATCCATCTAGAATTGGCCGTAATTGCAGTCAGATGCATCCAGTAAAGTCCTAGCGAGAGCATGCCCTGAGGAAGTCACAGGTGGTTTTTCACTTTTCCCAGGTTGCACTCCCTGACAGTGTGGCTGTTCTTCACACCTTGTCCTTTTCTTTTTCGCACACCTTGTCTTGTCTGCAGGTTGCCGAATGTGGATGACTTAAAATATCACCGCTTTGTGCCGGAGACTATATTTCAGGATGTATGCCTCCAAGGCTCCTTGGCGGACACCCTCAAAGCCTCACTTGATCGGTTGGAATTTCTCCGTACCGGTCTAGTGTATTTTGGGAGCGTAACTGGTGTATTCGTCAACTTCCCTGGCTTGGTAAGTTTTTTCCTGTCCAAAAAACTTGCCGTCTTCATAAACTTACTACCATCCTTCCCCCCTTGGTCTTCCAGACTGGGTACCCAAAACAGCCTATGTCTCTTATGTTTGGCATAGTACTCAGACTACGACGTCTTTTGTACTTACTTATGGAGCAGTCCTGAATTTATCAGCTACGTCCATGTAACCGCCTCACGGAGTATATCTTGCGTCTAATGCTTTGAATTCATAATATAATATCAGATTTCGAAACTGGGAAATTCCGCTAACGCAGCTCTATCGACACCAGAGAAAGAGGTAGGCTAGCCAAGCTATATATACGTTGCATAGGAAGAGGATTCTCTAGTAGACCCCACTTAATTGGAGACTTAGGATTTCTGTAATACTTATGAATTCAAGTACGAGTGGAATGTATTTAAACTTGTGTATGTAGTTGCATCCAGGTCCAGCTGCAAACGCGGTCAGATGCTTTTAAGGCTCGTGACACTTTCCCCTTTTCAATTTCAGTATGGCG